TTTCTTTGTAACGTGAATCGTCCTCGCTGTTCTGAGAAGACATTTCACTTCACACACACCCCCTGACTAGACACAGTCTCCCTTACTTTAGTCAAATCCTGCGCATCTTTCAAGTTTTAACTTTTAAATCGTAATTCCATCATAAGGCTTTACCTGAAAATCTAGTTCTCGAAATTTCTCTTTAAGAGAAAAGGTTGAAAAGCATCCCTAAAGAACTATTTTAAGAAACTTTAGTGGACACAAAAAGGACAACGTACTCTATTCATTCCATATGGCTGCTAGTAATGGATCAAAACAAATGTGTGACACTGAATGCAATGAAATATATCAAGGTAATACATATCTTGTATTTCATGTACCACATACCAAATCCACCGCTGGCGAGTCAATTCTGACTCATAGCAACCTTACAGGACAGAGGAAAACTGCCTCAAAGGGTTTCCAAGAAGTGGCTAGCGGATTCAAACTGCCGACCTTGTGGTTAGCAGCCGAGCTCTTAACCACTTCACCGCCAGGACTCCATATATCTTGATATCTTGATAAAAATAGTAAAAATACAAGAGGAAAATACAGTTTCTTCCCAACTAATACCTGTCACATTTAAATTTGAACCAAGTTATTAATCTCTGTTAAATTCAATACGGTAATTAAAATAATCAAACTTTTCACCTTTTCTGTTAATCAGAAATAACATTATTTTAATTAAAAGCTTCTTTGCACCCACAGTAATTTTTCCACATTTGCTCATTTACTTGAAGTTGAAATACTGTAACAGCTTTTCACACAAGGTCTAATACTTTTTCAGTGCACTTTCCTTCATTTTTCCTGTTTCCTATTTGGGGCCTTAAAATTTAATAAGATTTTCAATTTATTTTCTTCACGTACTCCAAATGTCAAGATATAAAAGAAGTACTACGTATTGTGCTATCTTATCTAGTAGTGTTTTTAAGGCATTCCATAAATTTTATATGTTCTGATCGTCTGTAAGTTTAGAAAATACTTTCAAGCAACACACAGCTAATAATGAGACCATGCGGAATTTAAGGAAGTCCTGAATAGAATGTGAAGAAATCTTATTACATTCCTAGACCTTACAAAACCCTGTAAAAGCCATATTGCCTATGTACCTCAGTTTCGTGTGTAAATGAGGATGAAGTCACTCATCCTAGCCGTCTTAGTTTCACAGTGCTGCT